TAACAATAGCAGAACCCTTTTTGGTGCTGTATAGTACCATATACAACACGATTTCCAACCTAAACTCAAACCAAAGAGCCATTTCTCCACGCAAAGAACCGTTTAAGCATGAAAGTGGTTTTATATAGAACCTTTATGAACATACAGCAAAAAGGGTTCTTCTGTCGTACACAAGCTTGACATCATTACAATAGAAGAACCCATTTGTTGCTGTACAGAAACATTTTTTATTTTCAGAAAGGCTTTATATAGAACCATACACACTTAAAAAAGATGGTTCTTCAAGGGTTCTTTAGTAAAGAAAATGGTTCTATATAGAACCATGAACATTCAAAAGAACACTATCCATGGTTAAAGGGTTCTTTGCATTGTGAAAGTGTTCTTCAGATTGATGGAAAATGTGCTATAGATGGTTCTATATCGAACCTGTTTGAAAAGGGTTCTATGTTGCACCAAAAAGGGTTCTTCTATTGTTATAGGCTTGACATCATAACAATAGCAGAACCCTTATTCTATATAGAACCATCTACAGCACATTCTCCGTCAATCTGAAGAACGCTTTCACAATGCAAATAATTATTTAAACATTAAATGGTTCTCTGTAGAACTCATGGTTCTAAATAGAACCATTGCCTTTACTAAAGAACCTTTGAAGTAGGGTTCTTCATGTATGTAGAGATGAAACATGAACAGAATCTGTAGACTGTGAGTGCAGATTGGAAAATTAACTTTGGAATGCAGTCACTGCTTAACTGCTATAATGAGGAATTTCATGATAAAATGCATGAAAATATGCATCTTAGTGTATTTTGGAGTTTTCTTTGCCAACAGTGGGCTTTTTACACACCTTTGACAATCTTGTACAAATAACTCCATTACTTTTCAATTACACAATAAATGGACATCACATGTTTAAAGTCCAGAGGCACTTTGATGGATCCTTCCTGTGCAGTCATCCTTTCATCTTTCAATTTAAGCTTTTCATTCAGCATAATTGATAGAGCTGTAATTACGTTCCATTTCCTTTTGTAAATCTGGTGTACTCTCGTAAGGTTTTTTTTCCCCATCCATTAAAACCTTTTAGCATGCTAAATGCCTTTAGCGAGGAACATGCTTCACTGTGGCCTTAATGTATTGGTTTGGGTGGCAGTGTGAATTGTTTTGAGTGACTCCAGGCAGAGACACGTCAGCAGCGAGCGCTGTTTGCAAATGAGGCAAAAGAATTGATGTCTGTTATGGAAATGCACTGTAAAATTACACGTTTAGGAGGCCTGCTGTTTCTTTCCGTGCCTCAAACGTGATGAAAGACAGGTAATATACACCGATCAGGCGTAACATTATGAGCACCTCCTTGTTTCTACGCTCATCGTCCATTTTATCAGCTCCACTTACTATATAGGTGCACTTTGTAGTTCTACAGTTACAGACTGTAGTCCATCTGTTTCTCTGATACTTTGTTAGCCCCCTTTTACCCTGTTCTTCAGTGGTCAGGACCCCCATGGACCCTCACAGAGCAGGTACTATTTGGGTGGTGGGATCATTCTCAGCACTGCAGTAACACTGACGTGGTGGTGGTGTGTTAGTGTGTGTTGTGCTGGTGTGAGTGGATCAGACACAGCAGTGCTGCTGGAGTTTTTAAACACTGTGTCCACTCACTGTCCACTCTATTAGTCACTCCTACCTTGTCAGTCCACCTTGTAGGTGTAAAGTCAGAGACGACAGCTCATCTGCTGCTGCACAGTTTGTGTTGGTCATCCTCTAGTCCTTCATCAGTGGTCACAGGACGCTGCCCACAGGACGCTGTTGGATGTGTTTGGTTGGTGGACTATTCTCAGTCCAGCAGTGACACTGAGGTGTTTAAAAACTCCAGCAGCACTGCTGTGTCTGATCCACTCAGACCAGCGCAACACACACTAACACACCACCACCACGTCAGTGTTACTGTAGTGCTGAGAATGATCCACAGCTCAAATAGTACCTGCTCTGTGAGGGTCCATGGGGGTCCTGACCACTAAACGGGGCTATCAAAGTATCAGAGAAACAGATGGACTACAGTCTGTAACTGTAGAACTACAAAGTGCACCTATATAGTAAGTGGAGCTGATAAAATGGACAATGAGTGTAGAAACAAAGAGGCGGTCATAATGTTATGCCTGATCATCATGTATACCACACTGCAAAAATGATATGTTGTCAAGTATAATTATCTAAATATAATCAGTTAATTAAATATTTCTCCTGTTGAGATTGTTGTAAGCTTAATTTAAGATTATTTAACTTATTTCTAGATGTTTTACTTAGTTTTGCTCAATAAAATTACTGAAAACATCTCACTATATTGTCAGATAATTTGGATTGTTTTAAGAAATGTGCTTGAAACAAGCTAAATTATCTGCCAATATAGTGAGATAATTTTACTTAATAAAATTACTGGAACAAGTAAATGTCTAGAAATAAGCTAAATAATCTTATAATAAGTGCACAAACATCTAAAATGGGAAATATTAGATATATTGACTAGATTTAAGATCATTTCATATGACAAGAGGCCATTTTTTGCAGTGCACGGTGGCTGTTTGTGTTCAGTGAGTGTTAGGAATTCACTGAAAGTGAATAAAGTGTAATCTATGGGTTTATTTCTATGTATTTAATATGTAATATTTTTGGCAAAACTTCATTAATCCGAATAATGTCTATGTGCTCAGCCAGATGACTGAAAACACCACAGTTCTAATGCATAGCTGTGTTGTGTTGTGTTGTTCTGCAACAAACAATATAAATTCACCTCCTCTGGACACGAGTGTATTTAAATGACTCATCAGGTGGCTCGAAATAAGCATTTGTTTGAGTTTCTTTCCTACAGTCAAAATTAATTTCTATTTCAGGCTTTTCTACAGTTTTCCTGACTTATATATTTAGTCTCAGCTACTAGTTTGGTCCACATCTTCAACATACACTACTGTGCAAACGTCAGAGACCACTCGTCTTTTATTTCGCTTCCAGTCAAACATTATTACATCAGGAGAGTTTCTGAGGAGATTAGATGTGTAAGAAAATCCACTTGAATAAGGAAGGATGAAGCAGGTGTTTCCAAAACTGGAGTTCAAAAAATGATTAAAAGCTACAGAGAAATTGTGTCTCCTAACAACCACCTGGAAGACCTGGTAGACACCAAAACTGCCCCCATCAGATAAACCGCACTTAAAGCTTTCATCTCTGAGAGAGAGGAGAAAATCAAGCTGCTTCAGATCTGAAAACATACACAGGTGTTTCTGTCCATCCTTCCACTGTGAGAAGACGACTCAGCGCTGTGGGTCTGAAAGGATGTGTAGCTGATCAAGAAGAACCTCACTGAGAAAAGGAGACGGACACATCAAACAAAGAAGCTGAACGATGGACTGACCACCCCAGAGTCCAGACCACAACACCACTGAATGTGTTTGATTACTTCAGAAAATGATCAACCAGCTTCTAAGACTGAACTTTGGAGGTGTGTCTGCAGATTCTTTGAGGAGCTGAAAGTGAGGCTCCTGAAAAGAACGGAAGCTGGAATAAAGGGAAAGAGTGACTCACTGAGACTCAGACAGCTGAGATTACTACATGTACTTAATGGCTGTTCTGATTCTAGACATGTAAGTTAAATAAATGAAGGTGGTCTCTGACGTTTGCAAAGTACTTTATGGTCATCGTATGAGAAGATATGACTGTAAGAGGGAACTTGGGCTTGAGTTCTTGGTGGCTTCTGCTTTAAGCTAGAAGACTGAACCCTCCTTTGATGAACAGAGGTAGAAATTAGAGGGAGGACTGAGGAAGAGAAGGAGACAGGGAGGTGTTGGGGTGCGAAAATGTGATCGCAAGAAACGGAAGGTGGAGATGGATATTTATAGAGTGTTAGCCTTGAAGGGGAATTCCACCGATTTTCAAAAATTCTGCATCATTCAAGGGCTGAGACCTAAACAAACCCACCCAGAGTGGTTTGGTGTGAAATGGTTGATTGTAGAGAACTTACAGACTAAGAAGTCTTCACAGTGGTGGTGATAGGAACCAGGGGTCGCCATGACTACAACACAAATATAGACATTTTATTTACTATCCAGAACCACCAGTGAACCTACATGAGTCTTCTGAGTTTTATACGGAATGTTGATGATGTTAAAATAGTGCTAAATCTAAAAGAAATAATTTTTTGGGGGACTATTTTGTCCTGCATGTACCCCTACCATGAATGTATGTAAAACAAATATATTTTATGGCCAAAACCTCCTTTCAAACTATCATAAGACAACGCGTCAGTAATCGGGCAGTGAATTCATAACCATTTCATGTAGTAACTTTCTGTGAGGGAGCTTGTAGAGGTGGACGTCTGGTTCCTATCATCACCACCACTGTGAACAGTTCTGACTTGGTAACTTTCTCCAGAACAAAGCGTTTCACACCAAACCACTGACTTTGTTTACAATTTAAACATTTAATTATGCAGAATATTTTTTTAATTGGTAGAATTCCCTTTTAAGTTAATTCATAATTTTGGTTAAATTAGATGTAACACATTTGCTGCTGTGCATATCTTTGTGTTTATGTCTGTATGTAGATGAAAAGTATTTGAATGGCATACCTCATGATCTTCAAAAGAACTGAAAAATAGACCTGCGCATTTATTGAATATTGAATATTCCTGTGTCATCTTTATCTGTGATGTGTGTCACCCTGTCTCGCTGGTGAGGATGATAAGAACTGCCACAGGATGACAGGCGAATTTAATATTTACTCATAAATAGAACAATCCTTTTTGGGTCTTTTGCATTTACTGTAAATATGCACATAATAAAAGAGTGATGTCAGTTATCTTATATTCCTTATATATGCAGAAAGGTGTAGAGAATGTTTACGTTTTAAGATGAGTGGTTATTAATTGAATATCAGTTATAAAATCACATTTTGATTGATTCTTTTCTCTGAACTTGTAGCTGCATTAATGAGTAACTCTGTGCTCTTTGCAGGTTCACCGAGTTTCTGGAGCCCTTTGAAAGAGTGATCCAGCCTGAGGAGCTGTGGCTTTACAAGAATCCTCTGGTGGAATCCGATCGCATCCCCAAGAGAGTCATGTTCGTAAGTACATTGTGCTGGTTCAGCCAGACTTAATGAAAAAAAAGTGCCTAAGAATACGTCACACCTCAGATAGCTTCTCACAGTCAGGAGCTTCGGGCTACAGCAGAAAGTCTGAAACAGCCAACAAGTCGAGGCATAGATTCTACAAGCACAGGGTTGTACTTCCATTGCTGGGCCTTTAATTTGAATCCTGAGAGTTCTCCAAGCATGCTGAGCTGCGACTCTGCATGGACAGCATTCGGAAAGAAGATTGGAGTAACCTCAGGACATGAACGAGCACAGGAAATGGTCAATGACAAAGAGAGAGTATATATTAATAAATGAAGTTTTTCCCTCCAAAACTTTCTGCAGGGGTGTAATTCTACTGCCACTCAAAAAATAGAATTTGTGAGAGATTAACATCGGAAAATGAACATCACAGCCATCATTAGGACTTCTGAGAGTTGAAATAATGCTCACTGAATCAGTGATGTTTGGCCGAAACTGAAATTCAGGACACGCTGGTCCAAAAACTAAAAGAACAAAAGCTGACAATAAACAAACAGTTTACTAAAAATAAACATACAATGATTACAGAATGTAGGCTACAGCGTGTGCCATGAATCCTCTGGTGGAATCCGTCCTCGACAACAAAGAACAGTTAGTCATGCAAAGCAATGAATTCCATTATTTTATAGTTATTCTTTGCACTTAAATTAGATGCAACACATTTGCTGCTGTGCGTATCGTTGTGTTTATCTGTATGTAGATGAAGGAATATTTGAAAGGCATGTTTTATAATATTCAAAAGAAGTGAAAAATAGACCTGCATATTTGGTGAATGTTGAATATTCCTGTGCCAACTTTATCTGTAAGTTCCCACCAAAACATCTCACAGGATGTTTGTCTGTGGTTTGTGAAAGTTTTCATCATTCTATAAACTGAGAGTATAGATGGCGTCAGTGTGTTTTCAGTGACTTTCCTTTCTGATTCTGTTATTTTGCTGTGTTGTGCATTTTTAAGTGCAATCAAACTTATAGTGGAGAAGTTCTTGGATGTTGTATCTCCTCTTGATGCTCCACATGAACATGACTATAAATCTCATGTCTGATGTTCCTTGTAGAACCCGTGAAATAGTTACACTGAAACAATAGTTTTACTATTGATCTGCTGCTTGAATGTGAGAGTGCTGACCGCTGCAGGAGAGCCAAGAAAACAAACAGCATTTCTAATCACTATTCTTTTCATTCCATCTTATCACGAGATCACACGAGACTCACATCCGGAGTTATGAGCCTATGAAGAGGGGCTGAGATACATGTCATCTGCCTCTCACCGTGTGGAACTGGTGGATTCGTGTGTCCGTCTTCATTCTGTGTGAAACTGACCAATAGACACTCAGGAAATCACGAAGGACTGACCATCACGCTGGAAACCCTTCGTTCTTCATTCAGTCCACATCGGAGACTCATGTGAAACGGCGTGCAGAGAGTTTACAGCTGCTGAAGCTGCTGCAGTGGTTTTGGAAAGTAGTGATGAAGATAACGGAGCATTTAGATATGAAACATATGAGGATCATGCTATATGAAGAGCCTTTAAAGGAGGATTTAAGAAGATATGAACAAATCGAGAAAATGACCTCAGACCACAGAGCCGTAAAAACAATAGAATATCCAGGTTGCTGTCAACTGTCTACCGTCATAGTGTAAACACAGCCTTAAGCCCTATTGGAGCTGGATTAGTTTGACCAGAGGACGTCCGGTAATATAATCTGTGTGTGATTTGACTGGCCGATTTGTACGGGATAAAGGATCTATGTAATTTCCCCAAATAACCCGGATCGAAACATCATTGCCTCATTATGTCAGCAATATGCAACAGACGCCACACTTCCAAATGACATCATGTTGTGTGGCTAAATGGCAAATATGGTACCAATAAAATGGAAGAGATTTTACATCCCATTTCAGGGTGGAGTGACGCCTGTTCAAAATGATGGTGTATAATCATAGAGTATGGGAGAGATACACAGAATTGTTGTAAACTTCAGTAGTCATCATGAATTTGTGGACTAAGGAATTTGGTCAAATCGAGCTTCATTTTAGTTGTTGGCCTAAAAGAATAGAGGCGCCGTTTTCTATTACCCAGTTTTGTTGTTACATTACTGTGATGTGGATTCAAGCAGGACTACTAGGATTGAGGATCTCTGAGTTTGGCAAATTATAGAAGGTAATTCACACCAGAAAGATTATGGACATTACAGATCTGTACTGGATTAAAATCATGGATCTCGTCGATAATTACTTTATTTTATTTAATTCAGAACCATTAGCCAACTGTGTTTGCTCACAGAGGAATTAGACCTTCACATTTAGCCAATCCGTGTAGTGAAATACCCACTTAGAGGGTGTCCCAAAAAAACTGACATCATTTGAGTCTGAGTAGCTACATGTCCTGGCAAACAAAATTAAATAGGCTTCATGTTGAACAATACAAGATTTATTTATCAAAACTCGAACAAGAAATTCAGAGGGATGTAGATTTTATAACCGATTTCACAGCTTCACAAACGTTCGACATGCGCACTGCCTGTGACACGACACACGTCAGGTCGGTAGTCCAGCTCCTGCCAAACACGCAGTAGCATGTCTTACGTAACAGTCTCCAGTTGGTGCATTTTCATTGAATCTTCTGGAAAATGCACGCTGCACACTCCTTTTTGACTGTGTTCGAGCATTTTCTAACACACAAAACGCCTTTTCATTTCTAGTGAACGCCGTTCTTCAACCTGAAAAAAACATTAAAAATGAAACTTGGTTGGTTTTTACACATTTTGTTCAAATTTGAGATCATTTGAGGGAGAATTGGCTGTTATTAGACTACAAAATGATGTCAGTTTTTTTGGGACACCCTGTACATGCACACTAGTGAACACACACACTAGGGGGCAGTTCCCTAACCTCCAGTCCACTTAAAGAGTAACTACACCCCACTATTTGCAGCTAATTCCACCCCTGGCTCAACTTTTAAAAATGCTCAAAAATAGGCGTGGCATGCTGGGAGGGGCACTGCAGTGATGTTGGGGTTTGGAGGTGGGGCTGCGAGGAGAACCGGGTGGGCTGGGCTGCTGTGTTTTTATAGCTAATGTTAGTTACCAGAAAATATGGAGAGAGACAGAATCAAACAGCCCTTTTGCAGCTTCAAGTTCTTACAAGGTTGAAGATTTTTCTCCATTACCATCCCCATCTTCGACCAGGGAGGGTGCTTCTGATCAGGCAGTGCGTCTTGAGCTCTAACAGTATGAGCCAGCTGCCTCCAGCTGCTTTCATATTTATGAAGACACGTCATCTGTGCCTATAGCGGAGTTGAACCCGGAGAGGCCCTGCAGAGGTGAAATGACCATAATAAAAATGTTATTTTTACAGTTTGGAAAGATTTCAAGCAAGGCTGGTATATTGTATTATTATAAAGCAATGCATTTCAGCTGTTAGAGTGTAGTTACTCTTTAAATTGCAGCAGCTCCCTGGATAAACTAATCCAGCTCCAAATATGGATTTAGACTCTAAAACCAGGTTCTACACAAGACATAAGTGACATAAAATTACTTTTGAGACACCACAGACCTTCTAAGAGGTTTAGAATTAGATCAGGGACACATGAGCTCTGGAGTATAATGAGATGCCAAGCGAATGTAAGAAGACATGTTTAAGAAGAAATGAAAGAGAAAAGAGCAGGACAATAGTGAGTGTGGGAGGGGTTAGACGTGGAGTATCTCTGCAGCTCTCTCTTCAGTCGGTCTCAAACTGGCTTTCTTATCCTCTGAGTTGGCGTTCCCGGGCTGTAGAGGGTGGGGTTTATTAGTATCTGCCATCTGTTCTTTTTCTCACCGTGTGGTCTCTGTTGCTCTCCGAGGTGCTGAACTCTCGTTGGTGGCAGGTACTGAGAGTTAGACAGGAGTGAGGTGGCTGAGGCAGCGGCACTTATGGGTTTGGCAGCGATCTGTGCCTGTCTGGTGTCACAGTAAGAACCTAGGAATTGTGAGGGCTTCAGCTGTTGCCTGTTCTTTGAGATAATCAGTAACAAAGAAAACATTCCAAAGTCAGTACTTTTTGTCCTGTGTACATTCTGCTCCAAATGCCTGTGAATTGTGGGGTGAAAGTAAGGCTACTACTGCAACTACACATCAATTAAACACTATTCTATCACAACAGCAGCTTGAACTGCCAAAGTAGCTTAACTACCACATTTGACAAAGCTTGCTGGTCTGTGTAGGGTGTATTGGTGAGTCTGCAAGGCGTATGATGTCAGTTCAATGTGCAGGAGTGTCAGCTTGTGTGTAGTGTGTGTAGCAGCATTCCTATTTCAACTTCTGAACACCATAACTCAATTACCACGGTGGTAGTCTGGGGGAAATGTATGTAGGATGAAGTGTAAAGGCTTTGGGGCTTGTCAGTTAACCGTGGAGTGCAGTGGACCTCTGACGTTGTGTGTCATGCTGTAGTCAGCGTTAGGCCCATATTAGGAAACTCGTTCTACTACAGAGTAGTAAAGAAAAAAAATTCCAAACCTGATACGTCTTGCCGTATAGACCTTTATCTCCCAAATGTCACTAGATCCTCTGAATTATGAGGTCATTAAAGCTCCACTATGTCATTTCTTTGTTAAAATTGAAAGAAGTATAATTACTGAAATAAGTAGAATAAAAACTGACTAAAATAAAAGTGGTGAGGCATTGAGGCGGGAGTTTTTTCACACCACTTTGTACGTCTTCACGTATTAACGCCACATGCACAGGCTCAAAAAGAAGGTCTGCCTCGATGTTTAGGTCTCAGATAATCTCAAAATTAACATCATACTGATGAAGATATGATGGCAATAGTAGATAGTTCACTCACATCCTCAGAAGACGCTCCTTCACCAAGTTTTGACTGAGTTCTCTTTGAATTCTCTTTCAATCATCAGATTCATCTGCATGCAGTTACACATTTCCACCAGAGGGGTCTCCAAATCCCCAGAACTTA